CAAGCGGGCAGCCAGCACCGCAGCAGCCCTGCTCACCCCAAAGCCCCGCTTCCCACGGGACAGCCTTCAGCCCCCGCCCCACCTGCTCCAGCTCGTAGGCCTTCGCCTTGTCCTCATCGCGGTCGGCGTTCTTACGGTACGCCAGGCCCAGCCCCCAGACGGCCAGGATGCTGTAGACGTTATCGCGGACCCAGGCATCGCGGTGATCGGCGCTGGCGGGCAGCAGCCCGGTCACGGCGTCCTGCGGACGGCGAGAAGCGGGGGTAGGAGAGGAGGGAGGCGGCTCGGAGCCCCGAGTCCGGCAGCGCAGCGCCCCGCGCCTCGCACCTGGTGCCGGAGGATGGTTTGCTGCACCAGGCGGCCGTAGCCGTCCAGCCGCACGCCCGAGTTGCTGCGACCGCGCATGGCGACGGCGGGGGGAACGGCGGAGCGCGGGGCGGGAACGCGGCGGGAGGAGGGCGGAGGGGTGGCCGCCCCTCCGCCCTCCTCCCGCCGCGTTCCCGCCCCGCGCTCCGCCCGGGTGCTGGAAGATCAACCGCCTCTCCAAAAGGTTTCGCGCCGCCTCAAAGCTCCACTTCCCCTAGAATCCCATGTTTGCGGGATGTTTCCAGCAGATTTACCCGCACGCTCAGCCCCGCAGCTTTTGGGAGGCGGTGGCGGCGGAGAGCCCCTTAACGTTCACTATGCAGCGGTCAGGACCTGGCGTCTCCGCGGCCGGTGGGCAGCGCCCCCTGGTGGGCGGAGGCCGCGAAGGGCGGGCGGGGACAGGGGGCCATATGGGGACATGGGGACGGCGGGGTGCGATGGAAGGCAGCTCCCGTCCGCGGACACCGGGGGACGGACGGCTACACCGAGCGTGCGGCAACGCGCTGCCAGCCCCCGGGCTCCCTGCACATCACCATTGAAGGAACTAAAGCCCCAGGGCGCCCACCCACCCCAGTATCCCAGCTCCACCACCTTCTGCACGGACTGGAAGCACACTCCTTGACGCTGCCACCTGGATTGCAGTGACCAAAGCACGGAGAGAGGAGGGGAACGCGGGGCTCCTTATGTCACAGCAGAAGGAAAAGCGTAGGGGACACAAAAGGAGGTGGCTGGGGCTTGGTGCACACCCACAGACCAGCAAGGGAACAAAGGAGCCACCGAGGTGGGCTTCAGCAAAATTCAGTAATTTATTTATTAACACAGTCAGCAATAAATAGAGGAAAGCCAGGCTGTGGGCCTGGGGGACACCTCTGGGAACAAGGACAGGTTCAGAGCAGAGCCCAGCCCACATGGACCAACAGAAGGAGAGGCAATGGGGTGACGCTGCCATCCCCACCTCCCACCAGTTTCTGTAGCCATCCCAAGGAAAGCCAGGATTGGGGCTGCAACGGGGGGAGCCCCCAAAATACCCAGGGACAAGATGGCTTGGGGTGCGTGGGACTGAGTCCTTTGGGTGCAGGTGACAGCATGGAGACACGCTCTCCACCAGCTTCATGCTCCAGCCCCCACAATAGACAGCGGTGCAGGACAGAGGGATGCTAAGGGCAGGCTCCCACCTTTAAAATCCTACATAATTTTTTTTTTAATATAAGTTTTCCATAAAACTGTAAAACTTTCCCTCAGAGCATCGCACCAGAGTGGAGACAAATCCCTCCCCATCAAAAAACAAAAAACAAAAAAACAAAACCCAAAAAAGCACAACCAACCACCCACCGAGCATCAAAATACATCCAAAAAAAAAGAAGAATCCAGCACCGGGCACAGGTTACCGGCAGGTGCAGGACTCTGCGATCATGTTCTCATACTCCTTGTAGAGGATGCTGCCATCGTGCTGGATCATCAGGACGCTGATGGGGCTGTAGCGGTAGGGGACGCAGGAGGGTCGGGGGACGTTGGCATCCACCAGCTGGTGGACCAAGTTCTGCACCACGGCGTGGTTGGGCGCGTGGTAGCCGTCGCGGAGGAGCCGCGGGCACACTCCTTTACAATAACGTGGGTTGTAGCGATGGGGAGCGATGATCCAATGGTCCCAACCCAACTGGGCAAAGCTGACGGGGAAGGAGCGCAGGGAGCAATCGCTTTTGTCCCCTCCAGCATCCCGTAGGTAGCTGGGCAGGTCGTGGAGAAGCGTCCCTGCTTCACGTCGGCTGCGCTGAGGCTCCGGTAGCGTCCCGCTGCGGGTGTCATTGAGGAAGAGGAGGAGGAAAGGGTCTGCAGGGGACGCTGGGTTGGCTGCGGTGGCTCGACCAGCTCGCACGCAGATGTGCCGCAGGGTCAGCGCCCCTCCGGAGCTGCTATTTGCTGGGGGTAAATAGGGGGTGATGTCTGCTTCGGTCCAGCCGTGGCGGGATGGGGCGGCGGGGCTGAGCAGGACCGCCGGGGCTTTGGCAGCAGGCAGCAGCTCCACGGCACACAGGAGGCGGCCGCGGGGCAGTGGCAGGCTCTGAGGGTAAGCCACGGTGACACGGAGAAGGTGCTCAGCTTCAGGCTGGGCACCCAGGCGGTAGGTGAGGGGCTGCATGTACCAGCGACCTGCGGGAGGAAAGCAGCTGTCAGGTGGGGCATCACCTCATCCCACCTCACTGTGCCCAGAACAGGGTGTTGGGGGCCTTGGCAAAGAAACTGGGAGGGGTTCCATCTCCTGTGCCAGCACTGCAATGGGAGTGGAGAGCCAGCAGTGCTTGCAGCATGAGTACCAAGTGATGCCCTTGCCCTTATTGAGCACAAGACAGTGTCTCCAATTAAGGAGAGATCCCATGACCAGATGCTCCACAGGGCATGGCAATGACCCGAGCAGAAACAGCATCCCCAAACCAAAGGGGACCTCATGGCCAAGTGTTCCGCAAGGCACAGAGAGGACCACACAGAACATCTCCAAGCCAGAGAGGGGATCCTAGCACTGCTTCCAAAGGGCACAGTGAGGACATAAGCAGAGACAGCATTACCAAGCCAAGGGGAAAACTATTCACAGGGCATCAGGAGGACCCAAGAAACAACAGACCAGTGTCTCCAAGCCAAGAGGGACCCCACGGCCAAGCGCCATCACACAGGACGCATCACAGACCCAAGCAGCAGCACTGCCCCCAAGCCAAGGGCAAATCTCACAACCAAGTGCTGCTCCACCAGGGCACAGCACAGACCCAAGCAGCGACTCCAGGACTCAAAACAACCTCGCCAGCTCCACACCCCGCATCACCCATTGCCACCACCTTACCTGCCCACGGCTGTCCTCCACGGGAAGCCGCCTGCACCAGGCGCACGGTGTTGCTGCTCAGACTGCGGCCACGCCGGGGCCGCCCCTCGTGGTCAGCAGCGCGTCGGTACAGCTCCAGCATGTAGCGCAGGGGCTGCCCACTGGCTGCGCCCCCCCTCCAGCCCTGGCTACCTGGCGCTTGCGCCCGCAGAGCTTGCAAGAGGGGCAAGGGGGGGGTCTGGCTCGCAGCCCAGGAAAGCAGCACGGTGAGGAAGAGGAGGGCGGTGAAGGGGCGGAGCAAAGCCATGGTGGGTGACAGGGGGTGAGGTGACAGCAGGATTAGTGGAGCACTGCGGTCATGCTTCATGTGTTCCCCCCCCAGAGGTAAAGCAGAAAGAGGTCCCGGGGTGCTGTCACGCTACAGCACCCATGCCAGAGGATTCAGCTCAGCACAAAGAGAAAAAGGGTGAAGAGGGGGGGCTCTGCAAAAAGAGTGCAAGATCAGGGCTAAAACCCAAACCCCCCAAAGCAGGGGGCAAAGCCAGCTGGACAAAAACCTGGCAATGGGAGGGGGGCTTAAAAGTGCCGGGGTGGGGAAGGGGTGCAGTGGGGTGGTGGGAGGACCAGCTTGCTCAGCCCACCTGCTCCTCACCGGCCTGGTCCAGCAGGATAAGAGGGCTGGGGCCCATGGGACTTTTTAAAGGCATGGTCCTAATTAGGGCTTAAAGGGGCAGGAGCCCCCTGAGAATCACATCTAAGTTCTCCCTCCTCAGTGCCAGCTCTCTGAGGGGTCAGGATGGAGGAAAGAGCACAGTTCTGCCCAGCCTGGGGGGCTCATAGGGGCCAGGTGCCTCAGTTTCCCCTGCTGGGAGGTGGGGTGACGTCCCTGAGCCCAGGGGTGGCGGCACACGTGGATGTAGGGACCCAGAACCCAACAGCACAGCACAGCCAGGTGGTACCTGAGCTGTCACCAGGCTCAGCTGTGTCACCTGCGGGGTCCCCTGAGGCACAGCCTTATGGGGGACACCGTCCCCAAACCCAGTGACACTCATGCCACCCTGACAGGACATCTCCTTGCCCAAAGTGGGCTCCACGTGGCGTAACAGAGAGGGCAAGGGGGGATACAGGACGGGGACCGCCAGCAGTGGCACAAGGACAGTGGGGACATCTGGGAGGGTGGGGTGTCCCAAATCCCGGTGGCGTGGGGACAGCTCGGAGCCGCTGGAGCAGCCGTTTTGGCAAAGAGGCAATGAGTCAGAGCTGCCGGGGGGACGTGGGGTGACATCCCGGGGGACAGGGCGGGGGCCAGACGGCGTTGCGTCACCCATCCCCTCCCAGGCGTGGTAACGGGTGACATTGGGTGGGACGCGGTGGGTTGCGCCCCTCGGTGTCCAGCACAGGCTGCGAGCTGAGCCGTGCCAAGCTAAACTGTGCTGAGCTGTGCCAAGCCCCATCGCGCCAAGCTCGCTTGTGCGCTGCGCCAAACTGCGCTCAGCTGTGCCAAACCGTGCCACGCGGGGCTGAACCGTGCCACGGAGGGCTACGCTGTGCCACGTTGTGCCAAACCAAACTGTGCCAAGCGCGATGTGCCATGTGTATGTCTGAGCCGCGCCGTGCCAGCCCTCCTTGTTGTACCGGGACGCTCCGAGCCGCACCGCTCCCATCCCAGCGCAGCGCACGGCTCCGAGCCGTGCCGAGCCGTGCCGGGCGGGGCTGGCTGCGCTCCGCCCCAGCCAGGCGGGCGGTGGGGAGGGAGGGGGGGGGGTGTCATTTCCTCCGCCGTGCCGAGCCGTGCCGAGCCGTGCCGGGATGGGGCGGTAGCGGCCATGGAGCGGGCCGAGGGCCGGCCCGGGGCCGTGCAGTTGGTGCATGTGCAGCTTCAGGGCGGCGCGCCGTGGGGCTTCACGCTGCGGGGGGGGCTGGAGCACGGCGAGCCCCTCATCGTCTCCAAGGTAAGATCGGGGGTCCCGTCTCCCCCCCCTACGACTCTCTTTCCCCGCTTCCCAGGGCTCCCCCCGGGGGCAGGGAGGGCGGAGCGCAGGGAGCGGGAGGAAATTCCTCCGGCACATCCGTTGGGCTGGCGGGGGGGCGGCCGCCCCCGCACCCCTCCACCCCAAAGGAAGGCGATGCCGGGACGGGGGGGGCACCCGTGTGTCCCCTCTATGCTGCCTCCATATCCTCGAGATGGGACTTTGGGGGAAGTTGGGGTCCCTCCGACCCCGCTCCTGGCCCATCCGCCAAGGGTCCGCGCTGGAGATCGGGGTTTGTCGGCGGGGGCGCTGGCAGCTGCGCTCCCCTTCTCCTGGCCCCCCCCCCCCCCCCCCGCCCTGCAATTGTCCCTCGCTCTGTTGCTGTCCCCACTTTTTTGGGATCGGTTGGCATCGCCCCCGCTGGAGTCGTGCAGCACCCATGGGACACCCCAAATGCATGGCAGGGGGTCAGCCCCGTCCCCTTCGCTCGTGCCCCCCCAGTTTGTCCCTCCCAATGTACCCAGGGCCATCCCGCCCCGCTGCAGCGTGGTCTGGCCGGGGGAGCTGGAAAAGTGGCTCCTGTCCCTGCCCTGTGCCCCAGGGGTGTCACCGCGGGGCTGAGAGCCACTGTGCCCCGAGTCTGGATCGGGACCCCGGGGACGCGTCCTGCTGCTGCGGGAATCGAGAGGGGGGGTCCTCGCCGTGCCGGCCCCCGCCACCGCCGCGTGTGCAGTGCAGACAAAGGGGGCTTGTTCCAGCGCTCTGTGCATTCAGTGAGGGTCCCCCGGGGCGCCCGCAGCCGGCCGAGGAGCGTGCGTGCCGGCGGAATGGGGGGCCCCGGGCCCCCACGCTGGAGGAAGGATGGAGGGGGTCCGGCCGTGTGGGTCCTGTCCTGCGGTGGGTTCCAGCAGGTATTCCCACCGGCCGACTTGGTGCCACCATCCGGGACCGGAGTGAACGCTGCGGTTCGGCTGCCCGGCACGGCGGGTGCTGCGCTGCCTGTTGGTCCCCCAGCTCTGCCCCTGGGGGTGCCGGGGAGCGGCGGGGGGCCCCCGGCAGTGGGGCTGGCAGCCACCCAGGCGGGCGCTGAGGGCGCTGTGCGCAGAGCCCGTTCCTCTGCCGGGCAGGGTGGGGAGCCCGCGGGCAGGGTGGGCGGCTGGCGGTGGCGTGTCACCCCATAGGTGGCTTTGGGGTCCCCGTGGAGCCCTCCGGGAAAGGGTGCAGAGCCCCGTGCTGGCTGTTTTACCCTTAAACCCGCAGGCGGGCAGCAGAGCAGCATCCTTACGGGGCTGGGAATGAAGCCCCTATGGGTGACTGGCACAAAGAGCCCTTGTGCTGCCCGCGCCCGCAGGGGAATCTGCTGGGACGGGACATTTTTCTTCCCCCTCCTCCTTTCCCTCTGCCCTTTCTTAGCTCAGAATTTCATGTGACTGGGGCGGACACCGCGGATCCCTTGCATTCACAGCAGGGTGCTCGGGCTGAAGGCACCATCGGGGTGTAGGGGGCAGCTTTTGGGATGGTGCTGCCCTGATGCCTGTCTCTTACCCAGGTGGAGGACGGGGGGAAGGCAGCACTGTCCCGGAGGCTGCAGCCCGGCGATGAGCTGGTGAACATCAGCGGGACCCCCCTGTACGGCTCCCGCCAGGAAGCCCTCATCCTCATCAAGGGCTCTTACCGCACCCTCAAGATGATCGTCCGCAGGTTGGCACGGGGATGGGGAAGGGGCTCTGGGTGTGGGGTGACCCCTAGCATCACTCCTGGTCCCTGCAGTGGGGTGGGCAGATCCCAGCCTGGTGTCCCTTGCTCACCGCCCCCTCTCTGGGCGGTATCTCCGAGCTCTCCCTTCCTGCTTGCCTGGGGAAGGAAGGAGAGGCAGTGCCGGCCCCCCCAACCCCCCCTGCAGCCACTCTGCCGGCTGCTCCCAGCCAGGCTGCAGCGCTGGGGGGCACAGAGGGTCCTGGGCCGTGCCGCCGCTGGGGCGCAGCCTCATCCATGGTGAGTTTGAGGGTGTCAGGGGGTGGGGTAAGGGACCCCCGTGCCCGCCCCTCAGACTCCATTCCCTTCATACCAAGCCCTGGGGAGTGGGACAGCCCCTATGGATGCTGGGGCTGGCAGATGGCATTTGTGGAGCGCAGGGAGTGGCATCAGCCCTGCTATCCATATGGGAACACTTAGGAGGGTCTGGGATGGGGGGCACAGAGGTGTCCCCGCTGTCCCTTCAACAGGGTCCAGCAGCTGAAGCCAAGAGGGCTGAACTTGTTCTGGGCATGGGAGGAGAACGTTCAGCCGTGCCCTGTGCCAGAACCCTGTGTGCCATACCTGGGACCCCTGTGGTCCCCCCCCATCACTGCTGTCCCCCTTAGATGGGCGCTGGCCTGGGGGTGTGGGGGTGGGCAGGAAACCCCATAGGAAGTGACTTCAGCCCCGGTTCCTCGGCCCGGCTTCCTCCCCATTCTTGTCCTCTCCCGCTGTTGCTCTTGGCAAGGAGGAGCGTGCCCGTCCTCCGGCCCCATTCCTGGCACATGGCCAAGCTCGCCGAAATCCGCCCCGACGCCCCGGCCATGCACTGCCCCCCCGATGCCTTCAGCCTCTCCTGGCCCTCGGGTTGTGATGTCAGGTGAGAAAACACGGAGGGGTCCCAACTAGGGGGAGGATGGGGAGGGGGTCCCCAGGCTGCCCCACAACGCCGGTTCGCCACTGCCCTGTTTACTGCTGGCAGGAAGGGGTGGTGGCTGTGCCGGAGGCAGCCAGGAGGTGACGAGTCCCGGTGCCACGCATTCCCCATGTCCCCTGGGCAGCCGTTGTGCTGACTTGAACCTGGGGGTTGTATGCTCCCTTTCGGGGACACTGACGGCACCGTGACGCTGCCGGCAGCGAGCTGTCCCTGCAGTGGAACCCGCTGTCCCGGCACTGCAGCACGGACCGGAGCAGCTCCATCGGGAGCATGGAGAGCCTGGATCAGCCCGGCCACACTTACTACGAGGGCACCCCATCGCCTGTTGAGCACCACAGCAAGCGAGACTCAGCCTACAGCTCCTTCTCAGCCAGCTCCAACACCTCAGACTGCGCCTTATCCCTGCGCCCTGAGGACGCCGCCGGCCCTGAGGGTCCCTGCAAGCCCCCAGACCCACGCTACCTGCAGACAGGCGCTGAAGGAGCGGAAACGAGGCACACGGCTCGGCACCCCGTGCCCCCACAGCCCCCGGTGCGCAGGGACAGCCTGCGGGCATCCCCAGCCAGCAGCACGGACCGCTGCCGCGTGTCGGTGCCCGCCACCCCGCTGCACGCCCAGGGGAGGTGGATCTCCGACACTTTCCTGTGCCAGCGGGACAAAGAAGGCGAGGGGAGCAGCGGGAGGATGCCAGCAACGTGTCCCCCCAGGGAGCACCTCTCCGCTGATCAGTACTACATGCTGAGCTCCCACCCTGACCGCTGCGCTGGGGACGGCGGGGATCGGTCCTACCCAGAGAGCAGCACGCACCGTGTGCCAGATGCAGGGATGGAGACGGCGGGGGACCCCGTGCTGCTGTCCCCTCTGCAAGGCCATCGTCACAGCGCGCCTGAGCAGCTGCTGGCCTCCCAGCTCCGCGCCCTCCACGTGAGCGCCGGCAGCGGGCGGGCATCGCCTGCGTCCCCGGCACCTGATAACCACCGCTGGACCACATCCCCACTGCACGCCGAGCCCCGTGGGCCAGGAGGGCTCAGCCCCGCACCCAGCACCGAGGGCCTGGCCGAGGAGCAGCGGGCAGGGGGTCGGCGTGGTGGGGGTCCCCCAAACCGCTCAGCTCACTTTCGGCGCCGCAGCGAACGCTTCGCCACCAACCTGCGTAACGAGATCCAGCGGCGCAAAGCTCAGCTGCAAAAGAGCCGGGGACCTGGAGCGCAACCCCGGGGCGAGGAGCCCGTGGAGGAGGCGGAGGAACCCACAGAGGGCTCACCAAGCCCTGCACCCAGCGAGGACGGTAGGAGCTGCGTGGGGGACACGCTGCCAGGCCCCGAAGTTGAACGAGTGGCACCCAGCCGGGGCCGCTGGCGTTGGTCTCCGGAGCGCAAGCTGCAGCCGCAGCGCTCGCCCAGTCCCCGTGAGCACCAGGGTGCAGAGGAAGCCGTCCTCCTGCCCTTTGCTGACCGCCGCAGATTCTTTGAGGAGAGCAGCCGCCCCACACCCGCCTGGCATGGAAAACCCCCAAAAGCGGCCGAGCCCGACCCTTTCCCAACCGCTGAGCACCGTGACGCTCACCGCGTATCTGGACCCTACAGCGAGTGCTGCCGGGAGCAGCAGCCCTACTACAAAGTGCTGCCGAGGCACGGCGAGCTGGAGTATCTGCGGGGCTTCCCCTATCCCTATGGAGCTCCCCCTGGGATGCACGAACCTTGCCGCTACTGCACCGGGGAGATGTGCCCTGCGCTGCTGCCCCGCGGCCATGCCTACCGCTGCCACCCATGGGCACGCTGCCCCGACTGCTGCTGCATGCCACGGGATGAGAGCGGCGCCTGGGCACCCCGAAAGGCCTTTATGCCGGTGAGTGAGCCGTGCTTTGGGGATTTGGGATTGAGCATCGGGTCCCGGCTTGCTGGATCCTACTTGATTCCTGCCGCCTCTCCATCCCCACGCAGGAATTTCCCCTGGAGGAGTGGGAACCACCAGCGATAAGCAGGAAAACCAGCCAGTCCATTGGGTGAGCCAGTGCGGGGTTTGGGGGGCTGCACGCACCACCACGCATGCAAAGGGGTGGGCACGATCGAGGGCTGACTGGATGCTTTTTCTCCCCAGTGAGCTCACCCACTACAAACCAGGCTTCCAGCGGCTCGGCCCCTTCCGGCCCTGCTTTGAGAGCTCTGAGCCCGAGTGGCCGCCCTGCTACCGCACCACGTCCACGCACGACCTGTCCTGGGATGGTGAGCGGCCGCCCCGCTCCCCCGAGCCCCCCCCAGAGCCCCTGCACCGCCCGCTGCGGGGCCGAGCCTTCTCTGAGAGCCACCTCAACCTGGAGCCCTCCAGCCCCCGTGCCCGCAAGGACTTCCTCCGGGTGCAATCAGAGGCTCCGGGTTTACCCAAAAAAAAGGGTCCCCCGCCCCCCCGCCCGCCTCCACCCAACTGGGAGCAGTACAGGTTGCGCCGAGCATCGCAGCACCCCAAAAACGGCTCCGGATCCGGCACGGCCCTGCCACCATCCCGTAGCATTGCTGAAGCCGTGCGGCAGCGGACGCGCAGCCTCGCTGCTGAGACCCCCCCTGGCCGCCCCCGTGGGATGCCGGAACCCGAAGCTGAGCTCTGCAGGTGGGCGCTGTGGGGACCCCAGGGCCACCTCCTCACTTTTGGGGATTGGGGACCGCACCGTCCTTTGGAGGATGGTGTCAGCATCTCCGCCACTTGGTTTGGGTGGGACGCAGGGGGTTCCCTTGTGGGGGGTTTGCAGATGGGGAGGGGGTCCCTGGCCTCTGCGTTCCCTCCCTGCATGTCCCTGTGCGGTGATGTTCCCACCACTGTGTCCACAGGGTCAGGGAAGAGTGCTCAATATCGAAGGACCCCTGGGAACAGGAGGACCCCCCCCCAAAGGCTCAGCCGGGGCCGGGAGCGGGGCTGGTCCAGCGAGTGCCCTCTGCCCACTCCCAGCCCCATGGGCACTCCAGGGAGACCCCATTCCCGCAGCCCTGAGGGGTCCAACGCCCGGGGAGGGCGGCCCCAACCCCGCCGCATGAATTCGGAGGAGTTGCTGTGGGACGTGGCAGGCAGGGACCGCTCCTTGGCCGGCATCTTGGTGTCCCCTCCGGTCACCACTGCCACCGTTATGGGAGAGCTGCTGGCAGCAGGGGATCGCCAGGCGTGGAGGGAGCGGATCCAGCAGGATTGGCACCAGGAGCCACAGGACAGGTAGGGATGGCAGCCCGTGTCTCCTGGGAGCGTGGGGATGGTGGAGTCCCTATCACTGAGTCCCTGTGCCCACAGGCAGGGCTTTGAGCCCATCTCGCCTCCCTCCGGGGCCGCCGACAGCCCCCCCTCCTACGCAGCATATTATGGCAAAGCTGAGCTGCTGGGCAAGGTGAAGGAGCTGCCGGAGGTGGCGGAGGGGAGCTCAGAGGAGGAGGAGGAGTTGGAGCGAGAGCTGGTGGAGAAAAAGGTAACGGGGATGGGGGTTTCTTGGTGGAGGATGCTGGCTGCACTGCTCCATTCGTGCAGGAATGCTGGCTGCAGGGTGCAAAGATCTGTGCGAGGATGTTGGTTGCATCCCTTCACTCTGCAAGGCTGCTCTTCATCCATGCACGGATTCTGGCTGCGTGCCTCTGTCCATGCAAGGATGGGAGCTGCATGCCTTCATCCATGCAGCGATGCCAGCTGCATGTCTCCATCTGTACAAAGATGCCGGCTGCATGCTTCCATCCATGCAATAATGCTTGCTGCATCCCTGATCTATGCAAGAGTGCTGACTGCACGGCTCCATCCACGTGCCGGCATCCCTGTTCCCCATTGTTGGTCCCCAAACCCATCTGTCCCCGTCCCCCTGACAGCTGCAGCTGGTGGAGAGCCTGAGCCGCAAGCTGGCGGTGCTGCGGGAGGCACAGCGGGGCCTGCAGGAGGACATCAGCGCCAACGGGGCTCTGGGCGAGGAGGTGGCGGCCCGCCTGCAGGCGCTCTGCACGCCGGGCGAGTTCGACAAGTACCGCCTCTTTGTGGGGGATCTGGACAAGGTGGTCAACCTGCTGCTGTCCCTTTCGGGCCGCCTGGCGCGGGTGGAGAACGCGCTGAGCGCTCTGGGGCCGCACGCCGCCTCCGAGGATAAGGTGTGCAATGGGAGCGGCGGTGGCGCATGGGGTCGGGCTGCGGCGGCGCCGTGGGATTCATGTTTTGGGTGTCGACTGCAGGTGGCCCTGCGGGAGAAGCAGCGGCTGCTGGCGGCGCAGCTGGAGGACGCCAAGGAGCTGCGGGAGCACGTGGGGCGGCGGGAGGAGGCGGTGGGGGCCATGGTGGCCCGCTATCTGCCCCCCGAGCAGCTGCAGGACTACCGGCACTTCATCAAGATGAAGTCGGCGCTGACGGCCGAGCAGCGCGAGCTGGATGAGAAGATCAAGCTGGGGCAGGAGCAGCTGCGCTGCCTGCGGGAGAGCCTCGGCCAGGCGCCTACCAGCTGCTAGCCCTGTCCGTCCATCCGTCCATCCATCCACCCATCCATCCATCCATCCATCCATCCATCCATCCATCCATCCATCCATCCATCCACCCATCCATCCACCCATCCATCCACCCATCCATCTCGTTTATTTTTTCACATATTTATTCTCCAGGCTGACCGTTTGACACATGGGATGGGTGTCACCGTGTCCCCCGTCCCGCCGTGTGCCTTCAACCCCGTGCCTCAAAGGGTTAAGCCCTCTGTCCTCCTGTCCATCTGTTCTGTCCGGTTCTGTGAGTCCGTCTGGTCTGTCCGGAGGCAGAGGAATGCGGCCTCCTCTTCCTCCCCATTGTGTTGGGAACAATGGCCCCGGTCCCTCGGTTCTGTGTCCCCGTTGCCCATGGGGACACTGAGCAGCAATGTCACCCGCACCGGAAGGGAAGAATATGGGGAAAAAATTCCCCCAAGGACAAACCGGGGCTCCCGTCCCCAACTCTGCCTGCGCCGCGGTGTCCCCAAACAGCACTTAGTCCCTCTGCCTCCATCTGTCCCTACTGTCCGCCTGTCCCCTCCACGCTCATTTTGCACAGGGGTTCTGCAGGAGGGGGGACGTGGGGAACATTTTGGGGTGCCGTGCGCGGGGTCACTGCTAGGACCAAAGAGTGCTGTCCCCCCGGAGAGGGGACGCGGTGCCCTGGTGCCTGTCACACACTAAAAGAGCAGCAGCCGCTGCACGACTGTCCCACGGTGTCCTGCGTGTTTTGTCACCGCGTCCCCAGATGTCCTCAATGTCGCCGGGCTGAACTGGGGACAGCGGCCCCGGGGGGGAGGTCGAGGTGGGCTGGGGGGGTCGCGGTGTCCCCACGCTGCGAGGGCAGCGCCGGCCGCTGGGTGGCACCCGCGGGGAGATGTCACGCGTGGGGCGGTGCGTGGGGAGGAAACGCGGGGGGGGCGGGCGGCTGGGCGCGCGTGGGTGAGCGCAGGTGAGCGGGGCTCAGAGCGCAGCCGAACGCAACGCACGGCCGTACGGGTGAGCGAGGACACGCGGGTGGGTGCGTGGACACGCGTGTGAGCATCCGCACGGACACACGGCCGGTCGCGTGGGGGCACGCGCGGGGAGAAAAGTGAGCGGATGCACACGCGTGCGCACGCAGCCAGGTGAACGGACGCACAGACGAATGCGCGCTCACACGTGAACGCGTGCACGAGCGTGCACGCACAGGTGAATGGATGCACACGCACGTGCCCGGCACCTCCCCGCGCTCCCCACGCCCGTGCACGCGTGGGGGGATGCGGATCCCCGCGCTCCCACGCGCGTCCCCCTCCGCCTCCCCAACTCCACGCGCCCCGCTCCACGTGGGCGGTGCACACGCATGTGCGCGGCGCCGCGTGTGCGCGCGTGCTCGGGGCCGCGCGTGGGCCGCCCGCGCGCGGCGCAGCGCAGCGCAGCAGAGCGGCGGAGCGGCAGAGCGGCAGCCGGTGCAGGCTGGGGCTTGCAGCGCAGGGGCTGGGCCGGGGCTGCCGTGCAGAGGCGTCGTGCTGGGGGGGGCCGGGGGGTGCACAGCGTCCTTGCGCCGGCATCGGCATCGGCGGCGGCTGCAAAGGTGCGTGCCGTGGGTTTTTAAATGGGGGGGAGGTGGATGGGGTTGGGGGGGGGGGAGCGGTTCGGGTGCGCGGATCTGCGGTTGGATTGAGAGGGGGGAGAACGGTGGGGGGGCTGCACTGCGGTGCTGCTGCTTTGGTCCCCCCCTCCCCCTTCCCCCCATCCCATCATAAATCGGCAGCCCACGCTTGGTGTTCGGAGGGGAGGAAGCAGAGCATGTGGGGGAGGTGGGGGGCTGCAGTGGGTGCCCCGTGGTGCAGCCAGGTGGGTGCCCCCCCCCACGCACACTCCATATGGGGAGCCCCCATCTCACCCTGGAAGCTCCTCATCCCTTCCTGAGGTGGGAGAGCCCCCCCCCCTTCCCCCCCTCCCCCCCCCGGGGCCCGGCCCCCGGGGGGGGGGGGGGCCCGAGGGGGGGGGGGGGGGGGGCAGCACCCCAACGTCACCGGGGGGGACCAAGCAATGGGGCACCAAAACGAGGAAAAACGTTACATGGAATGGGAGAAGTTGTGCACCCCAATGGCACCGTCCCCATGGATTCCCACCTCGCGGGGGCTCTGTGCCCCATTTCAGGGCTCCATCTCCCCACCTCAGGGCTGTCCCCCCCCCACCCCCCTGAAGATGGCCGAGAAGCTGGTGGCCGGCGACCTGTTCCTGCGGCAGGCACGGGAATCCGTGTCATCCCTGGACTCGGACAAGCTGTCCCCTGTGTCCCCCGAGGCGGGCGGTGAGGAATCGTCAGACAGCGAGGGCGAGCAGGAGGGCAGCACCCACAAACTCATCCGGAAGGTGTCCACCTCGGGCCAGATGCGGAGCAAGGTGAGGGGACCCCCACCTCCTGTCAGCCCCGATCCCAAATCTTCGTTTTATTTCCTCCCTGCCGTGGTTACGGGTTGGCAGCTTGTGTGTGGCGTGACGGTTTGGTAGGTCCGATGGAAATATGGGGTGCTGCTATGGGGACAGGAGGCCGGTGTGGGTCTGGGGGTGGCAGAGCCCCCGGTGCTGTTTGGGATCGCTGGCTCTGTGCTGTGCGTGGTGGTGCTGTGGGGTCCCCTTGTCCCCCTGGCTGGTTGGCAGCATCTGGCACTTCACCACGCAGGAGGCAGTGCTGGAAAGGGAGCACGTATGGCATCCAGCGTGGCCACCATGCAGCCAAATGGGGGGGGGGCAGCACCCCACAGTCCTAATTAGCACAGAGTTAATAAGGGAGAACCCAGTGGTTCCCGAGAGATGCCTGGTTTAGCAGCGAGGAGGGGAGACCTATTTTTGGGTGTCCTCAGCCATCCCTGCTGCTGATAACAGGGGGCTGCTGAGGTTTTAGGGTTTCCACCCCACCTCTTGGGGTTCGGCGTGCCCCCATATGGTGCTGATGTCTCTCCTGGGGACAGGACAGGGCGGACGTCCCATCCCCATCCGTGCTGCGTCCACCCCCATCAGCGTGCACCCCAATTGCCAAAGCCCTGCCTCCACCCCCATCCATCCCAGCCCCCCGTCCCCCACACCCCAACTCGTGGGCTGTAATTGCGGGGCTCCCCGTGGGGCGCTTTGTGCCGGCCCTGGCGCGGAGGCGTTGAGGCCATTGTGCTCAGTGACAATGACAGCTGCCAGGCGCAGGTGCCCCTGCAGGGCTGAATGGCCCCAGTACAGGAGGGGGGTTGCTGCCACCCCCTCCTCCTCCTCCTCCTCACTGGGGCTGAGGGCTGCCGGTTCCCTTGAGAGCTGTGGGCATCAATGGGAAACTGGGGACGGGAACGTCCCCCACCACTGGCAGAGCAGTCCTGGGGTGTCACCTGCTGGAGTAACCCAGGGGACAGCACTGGTGGCGCTGGGCTGAGAAGCGTCACCGCAGAGGTGCTGGGCTGCAAATCATCTCTGAGAGCTGCTGGCAGCTGCCTGTTTACTCTGGGGTCCCCCTGTGTGCTTGAGGCAGCTCTATGTGCCCCTGCTCACTTTGGGGGTCCCTCTTTGTGCTTTGGGGCCCCCTATGTTCTTTAGGGGATCGCTTGCAGGCCCTTAGGTCCCCCGTGCCCCTTGGGGTCCTCTGCATGCTCTTAAGTCAGCTGCATGCTTTGGGGACCCTCTATATGATTTGCACTCCCCCTCATGCCTTGGGGTCTTCTGCATGCTTTGGAGTCCCCCTGCATGCTCTGAGGTCACCTTGGGGCCCCCTTGTGTGCTTCGGGGTCTCCCTGCATGCTTTGGGGGGCCACTATGTGCTTTGGGGTCCTTCTGCACGCCATGAGGTCCTTTGTGTTCTTTGGGGCTGCCCCACCTGCTTTGGGTTCCCCAAAGGGGATCATGACATCCCCTGTCTGCTTTGCAGTCCTCCTGTACACTTTGGGGTCCCCTGCGTGCTCTGAGTTCCCCCCATGGAGACACCCTGATCCCCCCCTGGGAGCTCCATTGGTCAGCTCACAGGGACAGCATCTCAGGTTCACGGGATACCATCGGCACCAGAGCCCATCTGTGCCCCAGTGCCCCACATTGCTCCCAGCCTGCAGGGACGTGAGGGGATGGGGTGGCAGTGCCTGGGCCACTGAGATAGCCTGTTGCCAGCAGCCGGATGTCTGCGGGGTGCCTCACCCCGACGCATTTTCCGTTCTGCACACACTGCATCGCCATCCTCCATTAATTCTGCAGCCCCTTTTCAGGCACCGGCACTGAAACCTTGCAGGGGTTCCCACAGCGCCGGGGTTTGGGGGCTGCAGGGCTGCAGGGCACTGCGTTGGGGTGCACGGCTGGGGCCGAGCCCGGAAGGGCCCATCGTGTTGCACAGCTGATAAGGTTTGCAGCCACCCGCAGCCCCAACCCTACTGGCGTTCTGGTGGTGCGGGGTCAGACCCGGCAGATCCCTCTGCGTGCCCATGGGGTGATGCTGGTGAGATGCAGGTTGGTGCTGTGATGCGTGCCGAGCCCCCTCTCCTCCTCTTTCTTTTGGGGCTTTTTGCTCCGATTTGGGGTGTTTCGACCTGGGGGTGGGGATGGAAAGGGCTCTGCTTTTCGGGTTGAGCAGCCAGGTCACATCCTGCCCGAACCCTGCATCGCTCAGAGCTGCTCCCGCTGCGGTGCTGGCACCCGCCCTGCAGGATCGTGCTGCCCGCCTGGCCCCCAGCCACGCCGAGCTGGGCTGCAGTGCTGGCTCCGACCCTGCTGTGCCTGCACCATGCTGCAACCCCTGCTTCCGAGCATCAGGATCCCCCCGTTTCCCCCCTGCTCCTTCCCACCCAGAGCCCCCTGCATCCCCCTGCGCACCAGGAGGTCCCCATGTGCCGTGCTTCTCATTATTAGGAGCTCACCGTGTCCCCTTACTTCTCCCCCCACCAGGAGCCCCCCAACATCTCCCCGTATCCCCCACTCCTCACCATTGCAACTTCCCACAGCCCAACGTTCCTTCCTGTCATAAAGCCCCCCATGCCCCTCTCCTCACATCACCGTGACACCCCGTGTCCCTCCATCACCACCCCAAGCCCCCTGCACCCCCATACCCGTCACCATCAGGA